AAAAAAAAAAAAAACACAAACGCAAGAACGGGAAGAAACGCACTCCATCACATAATTTCGACCTACGTATGTGTTCGCCTCGAACCGATTCATACAGCAACATGTTGGGATACCGATGGGGAAAAGTAGCAGCCTCCCACTTGCATGTATCTTGTGCGCCTTTAGTGAGAGTGTCTTTCTGCGGGGTTTGGGGAAGGATAGGTGTCTTATCAAAGTCATCAGGCTTATTGATGATCTGTCCCTGTTCATTTGGTGTCCAAGAAGACATGGGCAAGTGCGAAAGGACAGGATCTTACGAAAGTTTTTGAATGCATATGATGATCGACTTATTCTCAAAAGGACAGATGAGGATGAGGGTGAGTGGGACTTCCTCGACACGAAGATGGATATCAGTAACAATGAAGCAAGGTGCTATTGTTATCCAAAGAATTTTGATAATGTCTGGAATAAGGAGGATTTCTCCTTTCGCACAATACAAGACTTTGACTCATACTCGACTACCAGACAAAAGAAGGCAGTCATTACCTGTACTTTGCACAAAATTCAGAGGATGACGACCGACGATGAGTTAGTGGGACTGAGTCTACTAACCTTGAAGAGGCAATTACGTTTGCAGAAGTACCCGGCCTGGATTTTCATGAGTGTGTGATTGGTGACTTCTCTTTCGAGTGTGTTGCTGGTGACCTCTCTTACTTACCACTTGGTATCGACAGCGGCAACCGACCGGGAGTCTTCACCTGCGCAGAAGGTGGCCCTGTTTGTAGGAGCAGTACGTCAACAAGGACCAAGTAGTATCCGTCAGAGTTGTCGAAGAAGTATAGTGATTATACGGAGGCGTTAGTACGAATACCGACGGCAATCCCGGTGGACCAAGTGATGGAGGCAATGGAGGAGGGGGTGGAAACTGGAATGGTGATGGTGGGTTTGGCAGTAATGGAGGGGGAAATGGAAATTGGAGCGGCGGCGGGCCAAGCAGCAGCAACAGAGGCGGGAATGGGAGTTGGAATGGAGGTAACTGGAACGCTGGAAATTGGAATAATGGAGGAGGAAACGGAAATGGTTGGAACAACGGAGGGAGTACTAGTTGGAATATGAGCAATGGTGGGAGTAACGACGGAGGTAATAACTGGAACCCAGGAGGAGGGAATTGGAACGGGGGAGGACGAAACAATGGTGGGGGAGGAGGCAACTGGAACAATGGTTCCAATAATGGAGGTGGTGATTGGAAACGTTCGGCGAAGTGTTACAACTGTAACTAGTTTGGACACATCAGTCGGGAGTGTAACGCTCCACGACAAACGAGCCACCACAGAGGAGGAGGAGGAGGAGGTCGTACTTTTCAGGAAGGAGCGAGTAGCTCTGGTACCTCGAACGAGCCTGCGGCGGCGACAAGCCTGAGTAAGGGTTTGGAGGAGTCACTAAAAATGGTATGTTTGTATACCAATAGGAAAATTGAGAAACAGGAGAAACGTGAGGCGGAGATGAGAGAAGCAGAAGAAAGGAGAAAACGAGAAGAAGCGGAAAAAACACTGAAAGAGGAGAAAAACCGTTTGGAGATTGTGAAGCAAAAAGCCAAGGATGACAAGGAGGCGAAGCGGGAATGGAAAATGGAGCAGCTATTAGCCAAGCACAAACAAACGCTGTGTGAAGAATTCGAGGTGATGTTCGAAAAACGTTTGCGGAATGTCATTGTGTCTCAGAGAGCAGTGAAGGGGAAGGGCAAGATGGAATCCAGTGAGGATGAGGAAGAGGAGGAAGAGATGGAGGACTGGCTGGAGAAGAGGAAGCGCCAACTAGCTGTATCATGTATGATTAATCCTCCGGAGGAATTTCCGCCGAAGGTGGGGAAAGCCTCCATGTCGATACATCGAGGAGTTCCCGAGGAGCCGTTTCCAAGACTGGGTGTCCCGAGAAGAAGGAGCAGAGTGGATGGCGAGAGGGAGAGGATGTATCATTACGTGGACTCCCCGCTATGGGAGGGCGCCCCCTCAGCTGATGAGGAGATGTGCCGCGAAGCTGGCGTTGTGTATCGCGGTAGACCCGAGGCAGTGGACGAACTGGTGGAAATTAGAGTTATGTACCTCAGCATCGATGGAAATCAACCTCCAGTTGTAGCACCAAGACAAACAACTCCGAGGCAGCGAGGTGGTGGAGTAGTCATCAGAGAAGTACGGGAGACCTTGCGCGAAATAGCGCCGAACCCGCTAGCTGACGTGCATGCCCCAGGAGGTAATGACTCCCGTAATAACGGATCGGTGGAATGAACTTTGTAAGTGCCTACATGTACGTAGGTTATTTAATGTAGATCCTAATATTGGGACCAAGAGGCTACGTGAGGTGCTGGAATGTGTGTTGAGGTATTTATTTCTCCTATTAGTTTTGAAACATGACGTCCAGTGGGGTAATAAGTACGTGGAAATATGGTGTAGCTTAGTTGAAAACGACGTGGAGAAGTGGGATAGTCCGGGATGTTGCGTCTACATGTTGATCAACCCAGAAATGAGGGCGGTGTATATTGGGCAAACGAGTCGGAATTTGAGTGTTCGATGGGATGAGCATGTTAGTAGAGCAAAAACTCGGGGGAGTAATTGGAATTCCAGATTGTATAGTTGGTTGAGATACAAGGGCTCCGATAACTACGTGGCTCTACCTTTAGCTTTCGTCTCGTCGAATGATCTCGAGAGGGTGGAGAAGGTTTTCATAGGTAAATGGTCTCCATGCCTGAACTCAAAAGGGATTAAGAGGAAAAAGGGAGGGAAAGGTGGAAAAAGTAGGAAAGGACGAAAGGAAAGGAAACGGGCACGCTCGTGGAAATCTAGGAACGAGCAACCTCTTGTGTTTTCGACTGAGGGTTTGAGGACGGTCAAGTTAATCGATGTATGTAAAATAGCATGGAAAGGGGACAAGCTTTTTCGATCAGAAGGAGGGACGTTATGGGGTCAGAGATGGGATGTCATTGTTAAGGAAGTGGGTAGAAGTAGGATTAAGGGTGATGGGAGGATTATGTCTGTCAAAGATGCTCGGAAGTTTCCTGAACAAGGGGGAGTTTTCGAGGTCGTGAAGTTGGAAGGGAGAACTCTGTCCAAGGAGAAGGCCGATCCGAAACGGGAGTTGCATCCGATCATTCGTAACAAATGGTATAAAAAGAAACTATATAAGTATGACTTGGATAAATTGGTACGACTGACATCTCCGATCAACCTGTTCTCCAGGGCAGGAACCCAAGCTTCACTAAGGCACACGCTGACCGGCGTCATTTGGCAAAAATATCGGTTTAATATTAGGAAGCAGTTTTGTGTTGGGGTAACGTACGATCAAACCTTGTCAAGTTGTGCTATTCGAAAATTAGTGGTCAGTAAAATTCCTGAGACCCTACCTGAATCGCTAGCGACTTTTGCGTGTCGGAGGCTACTAATCACATGGAAGAAGAATCGTTCGGTTGGGGAAGTGCTCCACAATCACCGGCATGCTTCACAGCAGTTGGTGGGAGTTTGCCTTTGTGCAAACAGCGCTCTCCCTCGTGTGGAGGGTCACGTTTCATGTCGTTTAAGCGAGGTAGATGAGATCTCTGATTTCGTGAAGAATGCAAGAAACATTCCGCATCAGTCGGAGCCAACTCGGGAAAGATCGATTATGCAAGAAGTGAATGATAGTCTGAGTAGAATGGGTGTAGAAGCTTTGGTTGGATTGCATGAGATTCTAGAGTGTGTTAGGAATAGGAGGACGGGGCTTCTTCAGGACAAGGATCTTGAGAAGGTGAGGCAACTTTGTTCCGAAATGGTGTGCTCGGCAGTTGACCGAAATCCTGCAGAGACAGCTATTATGTGTCCTACAGTCTATGCGAATGCAATGGAGAAAACTTCTTAGGGTAATGAAAGTTTCTCTGCTGTTTGGGAATCGGAAGCGGAAGTGATAATTAGATGTGAGATGGAGTATAAGCAACGAGGACTGAATGCGTGTTTGGGAAAATGGGACAAGAATGGCAGATGTGGTCGAGCCTACGTTATCCCGAAGAATAAGGATATAAGTAAGTTCCGACCTATTACCCCATCCTTTACTGAGCCCACGCGCACTCCTGGACGACGAATTGCGAGAGCGTTGAATCATTCGCTTTTTCTGCTCCCGAAATCTGAACATTTTAATCTGAAATCAACAAACATACTGCAGGATAGGATTAGGGAAGTAAACCGGTGGGTAAAAGGGAAAGGTTGTGGGGAGTTAACGGAAGCAGCGTTTGATATTAAAGAAATGTTTAGTCAGTTACCGCATAACTCTATTCGAAACGCAGTGGGATGGTTGTTAGACTGATACAGGGGGAGAGGGAAATCAAGTTTGAGTGTGAAAAGAAGGGGAAAAGGGGCAGCTCTGGCAGCGAAAGTGGGGGATGAGTCATGGATGGAGGTAAGCTTTGACACAGTCATGGAGATGGTTGACTTTGAGTTGAGACATACGTATGTGTTCGCCTCGAACCGATTGATACAGCAACATGTTGGGATACCGATGGGAAAAAGTAGCAGCCCCCCGCTTGCATGTATCTTGTGCGCCTTTAGTGAGAGTGTCTTTCTGCGGAGTTTGGGGAAGGATAGGTGTCTTATCAAAGGCATCAGGCTTATTGATGATGTGTCCCTGTCCATTTGGTGTCCAAGAAGACATGGGCAAGTGCGAAAGGACAGGATCTTCCGAAAGTTTTTCAATGCATATGATGATCGACTTATTCTCAAAAGGACAGATGAGGATGAGGGTGAGTGGGACTTCCTCGGCACGAAGATGGATATTAGTAACAATGAAGCAAGGTGCTATTGTTATCCAAAGAATTTTGATAATGTCTGGAATGAGGAGGATTTCTCCTTTCGTACAATACAGGACTTTGACTCGTACTCGACTACCAGACAAAAGAAGGCGGTCATTACCTGTACTTTGCACAAAATTCAGAGGATGACGACCGACGATGAGTTAGTGGGACTGAGTCTACTAACCTTGAAGAGGCAATTACGTTTGTAGAAGTACCCGGCCTGGATTTTCATGAGTGTGTGATTGGTGACTTCTCTTTCGAGTGTGTTGCTGGTGACCTCTCTTACTTACCACTCCTCCCTTCTTCCTCATCTCAACATTGCATTTACAAATGGCATCAAAATTCATGAGTTGCCTTGGAATCTTGGATTACTTAAAAAAAAAAAAAAAAAAAAAAGGGGGAGAGACAAAGAGGAGGAAAGGAGGGGAGCGGGGGTAAGGCGAGATTCAAAAAACTCAAAGACATTCTAAGACAAAAAAAAAAA